AGGATCGTGTGGTGAGCGCACAAGGGCTGTGCCACATGTGGAGGTCATGCAGGGAAGCGCGCTCTCATCCCCACATCTTCATCCATGCTCTCTCAGAGGCATGCCTGGTGTGAGCAGACCCTGGCCCTGTTCCTGGGAGCCCGGCCCTAGCAAGTGCTGGCAGCCCACACTAGGCGAGGACCTACAGCTTAACTGGTGGGCCAGTGGCATGACTTAGGAAAGGGCAGACCCAAGTCTAGAGAGCCAAGCCCAGTCTCCAGTTCCAGAGGAAGAGAGTGAAACTTCTGCAAAGGAAAGAGGGGATGTATTCAGTTTTGATGCAGCTTTGCCCTGCTCACACACCCTCAAATGGGTTGCAAGCACTTTTGTTTTTCAGGAAAAGCTTTCATGTCCTCAAATTCAATTTTTTAAAATAAAATGACACTTCCGAGAAGTGGGCATTTTGGAAACACACACCTTTTGTGCTTCAGGCAATCAGAGAAATTGAGCATGTGTGGATGGGTGACTGTCAATAATGCATGCTCCAAACGGCACACTTTAAGAAAAAAAAACCTTTTCCCACTCAAGCAAGCAGGACCATTAAACTCAAAAATGAGATGAACTCAGCATCAGTGACAGATGAACTCCACTTCACTGAGACTGGCCTCCACTGATTCTCCCACCCAAACTGGTGGGAGCTTCAAAACATCCCCCCCATCCATAAATTTAGAATTTTGCCTAGCAAAATTCAAGGGTCAGGCTCTAAATTATGTCACACTACATGATGTGAGGACTGCTCCTAACACATTCCACTTGCAGAGTGATTACACAAATGCATAAAAGATCCATCTCAGTGTCTGCTAACCCGTGATAGCTCAGAGTGGAACCTCCAGCTTTAGAGGCATTGCGCTTCTAAAGGGAAGTAAGGGCAATAAAAAGAGCAACACGGAATGGCTCTTTGGTTGTTGGGTTCCCAAATGTTCTAGAATGGCCAGAAGACCTCTTCTGGTGCTCAGGAATGGTGTTGATCGTGTGCATGAGAAATGGAGCCACTCTTGCCCTATCCCTCCTTAATGGCCCTCTGCACATGGAAGGGAGAACCTCCTGAATCCATGGAGGCAACCTCGCATTCCCGAGGAGAGCCTCCACCAATTCCCAAAGCAACATCTTCAGCTTCTAGGTGCAGACAGTGATGGAAATGACAATGGCGGGAGCTAGGTGAATGTTCTTCCCCCTCATCACCCCAGTTGCTGAGCACCTTGGCAGGACGAGAAGTCTGGATTAAATGCACAAGGAACAAACCCTAAGAGCACATCATGTAATTTAGCTCAGGAAGAAGGGTTTGGTTTTCAGGGGTTGAGCTTTTGCTTTGTCTTTTTGCATTGTGATATTCACAGTTGTGGATTTAAATTTTTGTCCTGCATATATTTCTGCTCCAGCACTAAGCATTTCTGTCAATGAGAGTCACTGGGAAAGAAACTTTTAGGAAGAACCATTCCATCCAGGGTGTTCCAAAGGATTTGCCATAGTAGATCCCGAGGACAGGAGAAGCAAATTAGCCAGACAATTCGCCTTGCAGAAATAGTTGGGGCAACCACAAATGGGGGCGGGGGAGTCATTTTTTTGCAGGCCTCTGCCTGCTTGGCCAGATCTAGACCTGTTACCTGCGGCTTTTTTAAATTCCTTAAGACTCAGCTAAGGATGGAAAGCAGGGAAAGCAGCAGCAAGCAAGGGAGAAAGTTATTCCCCCAAGCATACCATTTAGCAGTGATGCAGAAGGCAATTACAGAAAGCTTTCACTATATCTTTAAGGAAATTCTGAAAACAGTATTAGCTTCTAACTATTAATCTGGTGTGAATGCCCTCAAGAGGCAAACAAAATGGATAAACTTGAAGGCTTTATTTGCAGAAACACATGCTTAAATACTTTGCAATAATAAGCTGCATAAATTGCCACGACAAGAGCAATAACTTACTCGTGGGTTAATGATCCATGTTTTCACAACTCAGCGTTCATGACACTGTCCACAGCTGGGTCAGCCACACTCTCCTTGCAAATACTGTACAATAAGGTCACGTGGTCCTCAGAAATAAGAGCGCTGCACTGTAGCTTCTGTTTAAGGGCTCCGCTTTGTGGCATGCAGCTCCCCTGCATTTGAAAGGTTCACCCCATGCTGCAGAATATCACCATGCCCCTGAAATAAATACAGCATAGGCGCACATCCGCACGAGAAAATGAACCCTCCCCCCCGCCTTGGATCAGCAGCGTAGCTCAGGCTTTCTTTGGCTTCTAGCTCACAGGGATGATGCCTCCATCATCTCCCCATATTTCAGATGCCAGAGGGCCACAGAGCCCTCTTGTCCCCACGCGATCCAATCTGCCAGTTCGTATGTGCAGAGGGTCCTCCAGCACTGGCCAGTGAAGGCCCCCTCCCTCATTTCCCGGCATGTCCACACTGAAGTGCCTCCCCCGCGCAGATGTGAGTGTCACACCCTGGCAACCACGCAACCTCTATGCACTGACTGCCCAGAGATGCTTCCAGTGGATTTCTGAGGCAAGCCAATTTGTGCTCGGCTTTGGAACAGCCGTTGCGGCTTAGTCCCCGTCCCCTCGATTCTTTTCACTCCCCAGCTAATGGCTGATCTAGAGGCTTCCCAATGGGAAAGAGAAGAATACTAGATTGGCATCTTAGTGCAATTTAAGATTGATGGAGGACTGCATCAGAGAAGAGTGATCAGATGTTCAAAAGGTGAGGTTTAGTAGACTTTGGTTATGTTTTAAATGTCATTTCAGGAGTTTTTTTAATCTTTGCTTTTGGGAATTGCACCCAAGACTCACTTATCTAGAAAGCTCAGATTTTAAACAGCCTGTCATGAAAACCCAGCAACTAAGATTTAGAAATCTTGTGAACTGCCAAAGGTGGCCTGCCATTCTCCCCACAGCTCCGACAGTGAAGCAAATATGGGAATATAACTTATTGAAGCATCTGTCTTAGACAGATGTTTCTCCCAAAGGTTCAATAGAAAACGTCCTGGGCATTAACTCAAAGTTCATCAAGAAAAAGGAGTGTGGTTTTTTTGCTTTCTTTTGTGTGACTAAAGTGTGAAGGGAGAGAGCGAGAGAGAGCGAGAGCACACAAATGCTGGTGCTCCGAAATGATCTACCTGACTTTGTCATATGTAATATCCAGTGATAAATATATTGTCTTGTAAAAAGGGTTTGTACATAACTTGTACATGGTTTCATTTTGTATTTTTCTCAGATTAAAAATTTATGTATTTGTGTTCTAAAAACCAAGGACCTACTGACGTGTGGCTTTTTTCCCCTTTCCGTGTCATGTGCTCTTGTGTCAAAGGTGCGTATTCCCGTGCAGTGATCAGCATTCTGGGCCACATGCATGCAGGAACTTGCTTCCACATATCCAAGGGGCTTCATGACATGGGGGGGGGGCCGATGCGATGTGTGCAAACAGAGACGACTCACGTGACCCCCTGCACAATCCATCAGTGGGGCTCTGCGCGCACGCACCCAGGTATGCCGACCCCAGTTTGGTAGCAGGAATTCGGTGCAACTGCATCTTCTTACAGGGCTGTGGAAACGCAGCCCTGACTGCTCTGCACACGCGTAAGGTTGCCCATGGCCCCAATCCACTCCTGTTGGACTGGAGGAATAACTGATTATCTCACCGTCTACAGTTCTTTCTTAACAATACTATTTGTCCTTTGAGAGATCAGAGCACTTCCCATCCAACAAGTAGAACGATATCACAGAGGACCTTTCTGCTGCCTTGGATGCTAGGCCAGTGGTACTGTCATCGCCATGTCATTCGGATGGGGAGAAAAAGTGGCCTTTTTTCCCCAAAGTGAAAATGAATGAGGACAAAAGGGTGGAGGGCTGCAATAACATCACCTGAGACCCCCTAAGCTGTGAGTTGTACCATCTGATTCAAGAGCATCCTCAGACACTTACTGACAAGCTCTAAGGTCCAGTCTTCCAAGCTTCCAAGACACTCCCAAATCCAGAGGAACCAAAATCCTCCCACCATCAGAATATGCCGTGGAGCAGGGCCAGGCCTTAGGATGCCCACACCCCTAGGATGCCCTTGTCTATGCCAAATTGGGTCCCCGTGTCCCGTGAGGTTCATGTAAGATTCAGGGAGCATCATAATGGGGTAGGGAGAGACCCTGGTGGTGCCCAATGGGATTGTGTTAAGGGGTGACTGCTGATTCCTGGGAACCTGGGGTAAAGCATGAGAAACGAGGGTGATGTAACCTGCAAGAACCCTTGAGTCAAACCGACTGCCTTGGATTTGGCCATCTCACCGCACCTTGTTTACACTCTCCCCTACAGACCTCGAAAAAGAGACTCGAATACTGAAATGGCAGGGCAAACCCCTCCATCTCCTCTGTCGCCTTGTCCCTCCTAGCACATTGTCTGGAAAGTAGGAAGGAAGTGTTGACCTTCACACACGGCTTCCAGACCCTCAAAGGAAATACATATAATCTTAAAAACAAACACACCTATCTAAGATCCATTTTCTGGAAATTAAAGTGTAATCTTTAATGTTGCCATCACTGAGGTCATGGGATGACATGCCCCTTTGTGACCCCAAATGGACCCATGCACCAACTGGAGTCCACCCAGAGAAAAGCCTTCTGCAGAGGGGCTCCATTTCTCTGGAATGTCAGAGGTCAGGCTGATGCCACCATTATGTTGTTTTTAGTGTCCCTGAAATGCTCTTTATTTCAGGATGTTTTCCTGGACTAATCAGCCCCTGATGCATTGGTTTTGTTTTCAACACAGTTTGATTCTAGTAAAAATTTTTACCTTAATTGTTCATTGCTCCAGAATCTCCATATCCAGGACATGGGAAATAAACGAAGAAACAAATCTTTGTAGCTGTGGAGAAATGTCCAAATACCATAGTATTTGCAACAAAGAGCCCACTGAAATTCACTTTCTGTTCCTCTGTTACCTAAAAGTTGAAATCAGTAATTAGTGATCCCGGAAACAAACCTACCTTCTCTCACTGTCAAATCTCATTGCTCAGGAGGGAAAGCCAAACACCTTGGACGCATACGTTCTACAAAAGCAGCTTTCACAGATCACTAGCCACAGATCTTGGTTATGGAGCAGCTTTTCCAACCTGGTGTCTTCCAGGTGTTCTTCACTCCAATTTCCATCCTCTCCAGATAGCCTGGCCAATGGACTTCTGGGAGCTATAAGGCACCAGGAAAGAGTCTTCTTAGTCTGCTTTGTACATAGCATTGGTTTGGTAAGGAGTTCTTTTATCTTTCAACCCCATATAGGAATCAAGACTTCCTAGAATCCAGTTAACTAATGTTCCTCAAAGGCCAGGCTCGGGGCATTTTGTCCTGAAGATATGCAGGGCCTGTGGCCTAAATTCCCAGTTGTATTCCCAGTCCTTGCAGTGAATTAGATGGATGCACAGTCCTAGAGAAACGAACACTGTATGTCCACTCTAATTTGAGTTCCATTCTTCGTGTTCCAAGAGCAGTTTCTGTTTTGAAGGCTGCATAAGTGGAAGTGTTATTTACCAGTACAGGAAAGCAGAGAAGCATTCATTCCTTATATTCAAAAGAGCTGTGTCTGAAGCCCAATGCTGGCCATAAGCATGCAGGAACAATGTAATATTTGACCAGAGAACTGGCACGGATCCCAGAAGACAGATCTGAAAGCCGAACACTCATACTCCATCTGCTGGATGTGGCCAGCAGAAGAAAAACGTGAGCCCTTCGTGAGCTGAGTTTCCATGGGGCCTTACCAAACAACATGATCAAAGGATGAGACAATGTTGTAACATAAAACCTTCCAAAATGCAACTCCTCTTTCTGCGTCACCTCCTGGGATGTCCTGGCCACGGTCCACCATTGCAGCCAAGTTCCTGCAGCATCCAAAAGTAAGTCCAAAGTGATCCCAACCTAAAATGATAAAAATAAGACCTGAATGTCTACATGATGTAACTACGAACATTTGATCTGGCTGCTTCACAACAACAGCCGCCCGTTTTGCACTGTCATGTCTTGGGAGTGCAAATCCTCATCTCGTGAATCCTTAGAGCAACCGTATAAGGATGCAAATTGTGTAAACAGGTATAGTGCAAATGAGGGGCTAGGTTAGGGTTAGGGCTGAGGTCGAGAGAAGAATGCTGCCTGGTAGGTTGTTGGGGAAGGTAAGGTTTAAGCCATGAATTTCCTACCTCCAGCTTCCGCTCAAAGCCATTTCTTTGCACCAGCAAATCCACATGTGAAATCTACCTCTGCACGATTCCCTGAGTTTCAGTTGGCTGGTCTTATCAACAGCCACCATCCTCACCAGCCACACTCTCCCAAGGTGGCATGCACAGATAAGGCTTATCCAATTCTAACCCCACAGTCACAGGGGGTTAAATAGCCCCGTCATTAGGCTGGGAGGGGCCACTTGCGCAAGCCATCCAAGCTTCCTAAACTCTCGTTTCAACCCTGCATTCCGTACCTCTTTGGTTCCCTTGCCAACATCCTTTCCTACTTTCCACTTCTAAGCCCTGTTAAGATCGGCATTTGCATTTTCACAGTCTCATCAAAATTCTGGAAGAACAGAGTAAAATAGCTCTAGAACCCAAGTCCTGGTGGCTCCAACTTCATCTTCTCTCTGCTTCCTAAATCTTCCCAAAGCACTGCCCACCCATGTCAAATATTTTCTCTGCAAGCACAAGGGGAGCACATTGGGCTGCCATGGTATGTAAAAACAGAAAGGGGAACGAAGAAGTCCTGCCCCAGTGTTGATATATAGTAACAACATGAATGTCTCAGCCCCATCCAGATTATTCTTATATGCAGGATGCTTCTTCCATCCATTAGAAGCACTTATAAAATGAAGCCCCAGTCAACCGTCAAAGTGACGCTGCATTTTGCATGAACTTGCAGCCACACAGCATACAGGCAGCCCTTAATCTTGGGGCTTAATTGGAGCCATAGCTCAGCCTTCAATGACAAATGAGAGGATGTGTCTTCAAGTGCACCGAGCATATTTTCTTCTCCAGTGAGTAATCACAGATGGGGGTCAAGGAGCTTAGGATATGAACCAGGAATCTCTTTGGCGTGGACACAGTTGTGTGGACACAGGCTGCAGAGCAGTCTCCAAATACGCAAGAGAGTCGGGGGATGCAGGATCAACTGCTCCTGTCTGCATGGCATTTGAAGCCTTTGAACTGGTCAGGTGGGGTATAAATACTGGGCACTTCTCCACCTGCTTTTGTTGGGCAAGAAACAATGCTTGCTGCTTTTCTGGCTCTTGACAGTCATGTGAGGAATCCACCCCATTGAGTTTCCTCTGCATCTGGAAATCCACGCATTTCCCTAACAGTCAGTCAATCTTTATTTGCATCAGCCATAGGCCTTGGCATATAAAATATAAATGTATAGGAATTGGAACACATAAAATATACTACGCTAAAATGATCTCGAAACATTCTGTGATTTATTTGAGGTACCAGTACCAGAATTATTGGATAATTCATCGTACATAGCCTCTCAGAACCTATAGAAGTTAGAGTTCTGAAACACAAGTAGACCTTATTTTAATAGCACTAGCTAGAAATCTTGCCGTTTTCATCATGATGCATTTCCGTAACTGTGATGCACTCCACAAAACAAGAAAAATGTGTCTGATAAAATGTGCACATTTGGAAAGGGTACAGCGGGCATGCATTTCAAAGAGACATGGTTTATTCAACTGGAGGATGCATACAAAAATGCCTAGTTTGAAAAAGTTGCAGAAGTCAACACATTTTTTTAAGGAAGAGCCCAGTATCCATATGGATTTTCTTTCTGCAAATAAACCATGTCTGCGCAGAACTGGCATGGTATGGCATGGATGTGGGAGGAAAGAACTTCTTGGAATTAGATTTGACCAATTTGTCTATCCCTTCCTTACAGCAATGGACGTGAGGATTCCAGATGGGAAAGCACATTTAGATTTATAAGAGTTGCTCCATCCATGAAGCAAGTTTGGCTTTGAAATATCTGAGGTTGCACACTGTATGCATGGGCAGCTCATGAGCTTAGCATGACCCGGGTATCCCAGGATGACAATGCGTGACCCGTGCAACATTCTGAGAGCTAACTGCATGGGGCCAGCTCCGTGGGCGTGGGATTTTTCTCAATGCCAACTGATACCTCCCTCCTTATTTTTAAAAAGTGGGGTGCTAATTAGACAAATCAACAGGAAGAATGGCTCCCAGGCCATCTTGCTGTGTATGTACAATGACCGGCCACTATTGCATTGCAACATTTTACTAAGAGAAAAGTGGTACATGGTTTTTGTACATTGCTAGTCATATTCGTGTTGAGAAAAGCTAACCTACCAAACTATACACCAGCAGAGGCGGGAGGGAGGATGCATACTCGGAGCCACTCAGCAGCGCTCCTTGCTCAGACCAGCACAGTGCTTGTTCCCACAGCCAGCCGGGACTTAAAGGTTCTCCAGCTTTGAAATGTGTGCCCCGATCAGCACATGGGATGCCATGGATGTTGCAGAGCAGCCTTCCCCCACCCGGTGCCTTCCAGAGGTGCTAGACTACAGTTCCCATTACCCCCATCCAGTGGTCCAAAAACTCTAGAGGGTGCCAGCATGGCGATGGCTGCTAGAGGTCCGGTCTATGCTGCCCAGACACCCAACAAGGTTTTTCTGTGGACATTTCTTAAGGGCAGTGCCGAGTCTGATCTAGAAGTGAGCAAGGTGGGCTTGACCACCTGGAAACATGGCTAGAGGAGCAAAGAACCAACCAGTGAAACCACATCACAATGCCTATAAAAGCCCACAGGGTGGAGGGGCGGGCAAGGCAGCTGGTCAGAATCAGCTCCCTGATCAAACAAAAGAACTTTCACCAGCCGGTTAAATGCATGTGGATAACAATAATAATAGCAACATTTCTCCAATGAGCTGAGGAAGGGCTTTCCTCCCCTCCCCCCCACTTTTTGCAGCAAGCCAGATGACTTATCAGATGTGTCACTTGGTGAAATAATTGCCAGCAATAATGGTTGCAATAGCAGTGCTCTCTGAGCACAATTTATCCGTGTCTGTTCTATCTTTCAACTTCAAAGCTTCGGCTGCCTTACAGATCACATCAAAATGACACTCCTCTCATTAATGACAGTGGTCTAATGCAATACAGAGAAGTCAAATCTCTCCCCCAGATAGGCGAGAAAGACTCATATGAAAAACTAAGCATGTTCAGGGTCCTGACACTCATATTCAGATCGGTATTTGAAACAGGAAGGGAAGTGTGGTTTGACACTCAGATTTATTCATATTTGGAAACAGCCCGCTCTTAGGGGAGCACGGAGAGAGAAGAGGAGAAGACAGCAATGAGCTTTAATTAATGGAAGGCTAACTCATGGACACAAAGAAAGGCTGGAGTCCACCAGATATATAAATGTTCAGCATGTGCCCTGACCCTGACGCGAAGAAGTCCGGCAAAGGTCTGCATCCGGCTTGGGTTGTCCAAGATCCCGCAGCCTATTCAAGAAAACATGGGTGCACCAAGATCTTCACCCGTCAATCTCTAACTGTGTGTGTGTTCACAGCTTTTTGTACCAAGTTGCTACAGTGAATCGGTACAGACACGTGCGGGATTACAGTATCTTCTCGGATGACACAACGCAATCCGTCAGGTGGGAAGCAGATCATGGAAGTTCACTAGGCTGGTTGGAAGCCAAAAATTACACCCATATGCGGAAGGGAGACTTGGAATGAGAGATCGCTGAATTTTTGTTCTGTTGCAATCCAACTGAATGTCCCAGTGATGACCATGCCTTCCCCTCCCATAGCCTCATTTCAGAATCTGCTGAGCTTTAGTGATGGCTATGATGAAAGAATGTTATTGAGGACTAATGCAAGTTTTCATTTTTAAAAATCCTTGTTTCAACATAGGGAAGCATAATAAGAGGAGAAACAGGCCAACAGGCCTATTGGTAGGTGCCATTGCAGCTTTCTTTATTTCAAACTGCTTCAGTCTACAGAAAGAGAGTTAAGTATATTTGGAATCATGAAAGTGAATAAAATGCACAGAATGTTGAGGTATTCCTAGGGTTGTCATCAAGTTGAACATCTAAGGTGAATTCTGAGATTTATTCTCGGTCAAAATTTTCAGAACAATTCAAGAGGCTTCACCATAGTAGATATGAACACGTCACAGACAGTGAAGCCCAAATTCTAATTTTAATAATAATAATAATAATCCAAAATAAATCTTGCAATTCATATCAGTTGTTCAAGTTGATTCATGGTCCCATCTGTCTTCCTCAAATACTGGATGTGAAGTCAGAACTGACATAAACAAATCCCTGTTCATAGTCAATGTTATTAATGTTTGGGATGGAAGTTCTCACCAATTCTCTTTCTCGTGAAGCAAAAAATTGGTATTAGGCAAACTTGGTATTTCCTACAAAGGAGAAATATGTAGAGAGAAATAATTCAGTTTTGCTAAAACTGGTAAAATTCCTCAGAGGCTTTGCATAATCCGAGGTTTATCTAAAGCAAAGGATTCTTGCTTCTCTTGCTTTTGTAGTGATTTTTCATCCCAGCAAAATTTTGGAGATCTCTTCTGAAGCCTCTGCCAAATTCTCCTTGGGTGCTGGACTCGGAAGCAATCTAGACATTTCAAAAATAGCAGCCCCTGGAGAAGTCCATCCCACAATTCCATGTGCACCATGAGGGGAACTTATCACCAGAGCCAGATGAGGCTTGATTGAAGGCCTTTTGACACATTATTATAGCACTTCTCACCTGCCATCCTGTCTATCCGATCAGGAATGGGAGGGGAAAACCAATTTTGATGTCAATCAAGAGATCCTTAGGGAAGTGTAACCTGTTAGGAAGCATTACCCTTTGCCCACTAGGATGCTCTTACTTTGAATTTAAAGGACAAATGCCAGAAATA